AGTTATTAGGGCAAACAAATTCTTTTCTCCGTTCATTGTACACATTCAAGTGTTTTCTCCGTCTAATTTTCAATCTCTTCTTCTTACGTTTACTCGTTACTAGGGCAAATAAACTCAGTTGCGTCTTCTATTAAAACTTACTCGTTATTAGCTTTATTATATTTTTAATTGTAATATTTTAATAATAATATTGGGTTAATAAATGCAAACATAATAATTTTAATGTTACTATTCTTTTTAGTAAGAATCTTGTAGGCCTGTATAGAATTGGTAGGCATGCATGGAATCGGTTACTGTAGACAGAATGCAGAAGGTAGCCAACGTATTGTCTTGTCAAGCATGCTGCAGGAGACTCACACAAATGAATGCAAACATTTTGAAAAAAGAGTGGATAAATATAATACAACTAATAAAGAGTAAATAGGCATGATTAAGAACATTTTGAAAAAAGAGTGGATAAAAAATGTCGAAAAATGGTAAAGTTATGATGTTTTGAAGTTTGTAAAGAAAACATGAAAAATAAATGGTAAAAATAAGGAAATGCCTTCCTCATGGATTGAACCCACGTCCCAAGGTTCATAGGCTCAAAACTTCACCAAATCAGCCAAGGGATACGTGTGTTCAAATGAGGAGAAAAAGAGAATAAATGTTACAACATGATAAAATCTCAAAATGGTAAAAAAGAGTTGTCCTCCTCAGGGATCGAACTCATGAAAGAGAATGCAAGACATACATCCAGTGTATCAACCCTCCGGTAACAGATAAACCTAAAAGGCACAATTTCTGGGGAGAACATACCAAGCCAAGCCAACAAAGCAAATCAAAACAGTAGACAGAGTGCAGATGGTAGCCAGCGCATTGTCTTGTCAAGCAGCTTACTGGGGCACGCAGAGTGTTGTCTTGTCATACAATGTGTTGTCTTGTCATGCAGCTCCCTCAGTAGACACACAGTGTATTGTCATGCCATGCAACTCCCTCAGTAGACACACAATGTGTTGTCATGTCATGCAGCTCCCTCACCAAATTGCTATTAATAAAGTAAAGAGATCTGAATTATTATCATATCAATTAGTAAAACAGTCCATCCAAACACAATTTTTGCTATGTCTTAAACACCATAATACATGATTAGTGTACATCTGAACAATGAAGTTTTTGAATGTGACATAGCTGGTTACAATTTCAGAAACACTGATGTTACGAGATTTTTAATTGACAGAAGGTCAAATTTTTTGCACTTGAAGTCAAGGTTAGAAAAAAACTGCAATGTGGTCGAGTTGGCCAAATAATATACAAAAATTCAGTGTTGTTTGGCGGGCATAATGACTGCAAATTTTTCCCATTAAAGGTTCGAGATGATGAAGATGTGCGTAACATGTTCCGCAGTCACGAGTATTCTGGTTTCCCAGATATCATGTTACATGTTACGTTATAACAACAACTATCTCAACAACTTGATTCTTCTCAAGTTTTTTGCGAATGTGATGAGGAACATGTTGAAGTCAATGTCATTGACGAAGAAGAAGAAGCAGCTCAAGTCACGGTTGACGAGATGGTGAACAACGAGGAAGAGGCAGTTCTACCCGGCCATGTGTATTTCCCACCTCAACACATGACAAGTCTTAACTTAGGTGACGATGAACCCTCAACAGATGTTTTTTACAACCCGAACTACGCAACAGATGGGCAACTAAAATAGGGTGGCAAGTTTCGTACCAAAGAAGATTGTATCCGAGCAATTAAAAAATATCACATGAACTTATCAGCAGATTACATAGTCGATCGGACAAATCCAACTCGGTATACTATCTATTATCGTAACGAGGTGTGTCCGTTCCGATTAACGATGTCTTCCAGGAAGAAAAGTGATTCCTGGAAGATAGGGTCAATGGGTCCAGATCACACTTGTATAATCTCAAATCCGATGCAGGACCATCGCAAGCTCAACTCTCGGTTGATTTGCGATGATATTCTTTCAGTCATTAGCAACAATCCATTTTTAAAGGTGAGTACCATAATTGTACATATGGTTCAAAGGTACAATTACACTCCTTCGTACCGAAAAACATGGATTTCTAGGACTAAAGCGGTTGAAAGGGTGTTTGGAAATTGGGAGGACTCTTACAAGGAACTTCCAAAATTCTTGGTGGCTCTTAAACAATACTCTTCAGGGACTGTTGCCATATTAGAGACAATGTCGTCGTGTACACCAGACGGGACTTGCGCTGGTGGAAATGGAATTTTTCACAGACTCTTTTGGGCGTTTGAATCATGCATCAAAGGGTTTACACATTGTAAACCTATAATTCAAGTTGACGACACATGGTTATACGGGAAGTATAAGGGCACCCTACTCATGGTTGTTGCTCAGGACGGGAACAACAACATTTTTCCAATAGCCTTCGCTATAGTTGAAGGGGAGACTGCTGAGGTTGGAGTTTTTTCTTAAAAAATCCCCGCTTTTACGTTTCTCCCCAACCTAACTTATGTTTGATCGCTGATAGACATCCATCAATCGAGAGTGCATACAATAACCTTGATAACGGTTAACATGATCCTCCCTTGACCCATGTGTATTGCATAAGACATATCGCCCAAAATTTCATGCGGGAAATCAAAGACAAGATACTACGGAAGAAGGTTGTGAACGCAGGATATGCACTAACAGAGCCCACATTCAAACACTACCGTGACGAGATTAGACTAACAAACACGGATGCATTAAGATGGATTGATAACATTGATAAAGAGAAATGGACACGAGCATACGATAATGGGGTGCGATGACCACATGACAACTAACCTCGTCGAATCAATGAATTTTGTTTTCAAGGGAATCCAAAACCTACCGATAACTGCCTTGGTAAAGACAACATATTTTTCGCTAGGCACACTCTTTGATAGCAGACATACGAAGTGGGTTTCAGTATTACAATCTAGTCAGCTGTACCGTAATAGTTTGATGAAATTCATGAAAGACGAAGTTGCCAAAGCCAACACACATGTGGTCACAATCTTTGACCGTAACAAAGGTTGGTACAGTATTGCCGAGTCAATTGATCACAACGAAGGAAGGCCTAAGGGATGTTACCGTCTTGAACTGGATAGGAGCTGGTGTGATTGTGGGAAGTTTCAGGCATTTCGTATGCCTTGCTCTCATGTTATAGCAACATGTTCGAAGGCGCGCCAGGACCCAACCAACTTTCTTTCTGCAGTTCACCAAGTGATAAGTCTATGCAATGTCTACACATGTAGCTTTCAGGTGGTGGCAAAGGATGACTATTGGCCTCAATACGAAGGCGAAATTTTCTGGCATAATGATTTGATGCGAAGAAAGAAAAAGGGTCGCCCTAACAACACGTGCATTCGAACGAAGGTGGATACCGCAAACAAGATGGTAAGATTATGTAGTTCGTGTCAGCAACCTGGACACAATCGTACAAAATGTCCTAACGTAGGATCAAGCACAAGATCATAGTGTCTAATGTAACCGTGTCCCTTTAAATCAAAAGCAATTTTCATTCCATTTGAAGCATACTTAACCGATTACAATTAGCAAACAACATAAATTTAACAAACATAACTTAATATCACAACAACATTCTGAAAATAAAAACAACAAAACAACATAAAACATAACAATGCACCAAGGTGTCTACGATATCACAACCATCAATGTTATCTTCTTTGGTGTTAACATCATCACAAGGACACCAACATCATTTTCCACTTTTCTCCATTCACGAGTAACTTCATTTCTCCCTGCCTCCTCGACCAACCTCTCAATTTTCCTAATCTTTTCGCCTGCAACAATATCTCCTTCTAGCCAGCGGTTCAGTTCCCTATGCAAATGCTCTAACATCTATGTATTCCACAAGAGCACCTTCATCAGAGGCTTTGTTGCTGAAAAATAAATTAGGGCATTTCTTTTCATTAGAGGAAATGTTGGAAATGGTTCCTCCGATGCTGATGACGACGACGACGAACGTTGATTTAAAAATGCAGACATTCTGGACTCCACTCCACTCAAAATTATTAAGACTTCAGTCTTTTGTTATAAAATGTTGTGGAAAAATATATGCGTTTGCAGCCGTATTTATAGAAAAATTAAATAGTACGTACGCCATATGATATGCCCTAAATACCCTTACAAAATTTATATACTTTAAAATTTCAAAGGTGACCTATTTATATTTATTATGTTTAAAAATTATATACAAACATATTATTTATTTTATAAAACTATATCACAAAAAATTTAAAAATTATATTTAAATCAATTTTTATTTATATTTAAATTAATTTATAATTTAAAAACAATATTTATTATTTAAATCAACTTAAATCAATTTTTATAAATTATTAATATATTTAAAATATATTTTAAAACTATATCACAAATATATTTATTATTTTAAATATAATTAAACCTAAGTATATTTATTAATAAACTATATTTATTAATTTATAAAATATATACATTATTATATATAAAAAAAACAACTAGGCTGATACGTCAATTAGAATAACAAATCCATTTTAAATTAAGCCCTATCGCCAATTGATCCAGCGAATTATTTTTTATTTGCACACTATCGCCAATTAATCTGACGACCCAACGTTAAAACGTCACCACTTTTATAATAATTTCAATTCTTATTTTAATTGATTTTTTTTTAATAATCTAGTTATTTAAAAAAAATTCACATATTAAAAATAAAAATAATAATGACATATTTAATATATTGTAAATAAATATAATATTACAGTCTATACTCTGCAACACTACGAATAAAAATAAAATAATAATATAGCGAGTTTATGCCCTCCTCTCAATAAAAATAAAATATATAATAATAATAATAACATATATTAGAATAGATAATTAAGTTTTTAATTATGTTTATTTTATTAGTTAAATTTTTATAAAGCTTTTAAGATGGTTGTGTTAGTTTTATAGGTTATTCATATATTTAATTTAAAAAATAATCAATTCTAAAATGTCAAAAAAAAATAATTCTGCTATCCACTGTTCGGCTATTCCATTTTTGAAGTCGGAGGAGCGGAACTCTGCCCACAATCGCAAATTAGCCTTTCACAAGGTGAAGGTTTTCACTCCGCTTCAACACTTACCACTTACAAGGTTTGATATCTCTCACTCTATTCATGATTTTCTTTACATATTAGGGATTAAAATAGGTTACCTGAACAAATTGGGTATCATAGTGTTCACAATTTCTTTGATATGAGATTCTTATTTGGATTATAATTTAATTCAATTTCATTTTGTTAGGTTTCAGCTAGGGTGCTGCTATGTTCTAGCTATTCGTGGAGGCACGACGAGTAGAGTCTTATGATTCTCATTGAGTGGCACACAACAACGAATGAACAATGGAGGTATGTCATTCACCTTTTGCAGTCCTTCATTTTTTCTTAACATTTTCAGGTGACCTCTACTGATGAATTTTAGGGGCCATAATATTTGCAAAACTTTTTAATTATTATTTTCCAGACTACGAATTTTGATTTGTTTTGGGTCTTAGATGGAGTGACGGACCAAGAAACAACAAGGATTTGGTAATGTGTTAGATATGGATCAATTGTATAGAACCAAGTAAGAGAGAAAATAAGTGTTTCCGTTTTTTGGGCCTTGATTACCGCCTATGTTAGTCTTCCGTATGACGTAGTGGTTCAAGGAGGCTGCTAAGCTTTCAACATGTCTGTAGGTTATTTTGTTCGGTTTTTGTTACTTGTACTTTTGTCTGAGTTCTAGATTTCTTAGAAACTATGCTAGAGAGAGTAATTGAATTCTGTTTTGATATATTTTGTTTGAGTGAGAAGCAAGGACTGAGAAGTAAGTCTCGTGACTTCAATACCAAGAAAATAGTCTAGGTCTCCCAAGTGTTTGAGAGAAAAAGCCATATTCAGTTTGGAGATGATGGATTGCACAAGAACAACTGAGCTGACAGTGATGATAATATCATCTACATAGACCAGGAGATAGACTTTGTGCCCTTGAGAGAAGTAAGTGAACAAGGAAGGGTCACACTTGCTAGGCTGAAAGTTGAGTTGCACCAGGCAGCCAACCATTGTCTTAGAGCTTGCTTAAGGCCATAGATGGCCTTGTTGAGTTTGCAGATCAGATTAGGATTACCATTTTCAAAGCCTTTAGGTTGAACCATGTAGACTTCCTCATCTAACAGCCCATTAAGGAAAGCATTGTTCACATCCAATTGTTGTATGGTCCAATTATGAGTGAGAGCAATAGATAAGATCAGCCCAATGCTGATAGGTTTCACAACTGGAGAGAAAGTTTCATTAAAATCAAATCCCTTTCTTTGATGAAAGCCTTTGGCCACAAGTCTAGCCTTATACTTGTTAATTGTGCCATTAGGATTCTCCTTAATTCTAAATACCCACTTGCTGCCTATAGCCTGCCTTTGAGATGGGAGAGGAACCAAGGTCCATGTGTTGTTGTTCATAAGAGCATCATATTCTGCTTGCATTGCTGCTTTCCATTGTACATCAGAGAGAGCGTGTTTAACTGTTTTGGGTTCAATCAGTGTGAATAGCAACTTGGGTTGAAGTCTGGGTTGAGAAAAACCTAACTTAGCCCTTGTCTGCATAGCATGACTAATAACAGGAATAGCAGCAACTGGAACTGCCTTGGGAGGAATAGCATTAGCTGGAGAAGCCTCAGATTGACTGGAGCTAGGAGGGTCTGATGCAGTTGAAGCAGGTGAAGACTGATCAGATATAGCAAGGTGTGAAGTAGAAGAAGCAGAGGCAGTGGATTCAGAGACATGAGACCTGCCAGGTGGGATTGTAAAGGAAGAGGTAGAAGGTCTAGTAGTGTTAGAAGCACTGACATCATTAAGACTGTTAGTGGCCACAGGCTGTCCAGAACGAATAGAGGATGAAGAAAGATGCTTAGAGGAAGAGGAGACTGGATTAGAATTAGGAAAAGAAAGAGGTGGGAATGTAAGAGGCAGAGGAGAAAGAGAGACAAATGAGAAAGAATTTTGAGTATGAGTTGAAATGGGGGATGGAAATAGTTCAACATATGGAAATCTGGACTCATGAAATAGCACATCTTTGGAGATAAAAAGTCTACCACTAGGTGCTAGACATCTGTATCCTTTGTGAGAAGTGGAATATCCAAGGAAAACACACTCTTGAGACCTAAAATCAAGTTTGTGGCTAGAATAGGGTCTTAAGAGTGGGAAGCAGGCATAGCTGAACACTTTGAGAAAAGTGTAGTCAGGATGGTGTTAAACAACAAGGAATAGGAGACCTGGAATTGTATTGAAGCAGAAGGAAGTCTATTGATAAGATAAACAGCTGTAGAAAAGGTACTTATAAGTTAAGGGCAGTGAGGCTTGGCTTAGCTATGTGAGCCCTGTTTCCACAATATGCCTATGCTTCCTTTCTATAACACCATTCTGATGGTGTGTGTGAGGATAGATAACCCTGTGCAGAATACCTAACTCAGCCAAGAATTTGTTAAATGGCCTGAATTCCCCACCCCAGTCAGATTGAAAATCCTTAATAGCCTTGCCAAACTGCAACTCCACCAATGATTTGAACGGTTTAAATGCAGCTAGAGCTTCAGACTTGTTTTTGAGGAAGTAAATCCAAGTAAATTTAGTATAGGCATCTACAAAGGACATGTATTACTTGTGGCCTAGAGTAGATGCATTGGGAGATGGCCCCCATAGATCACCATAAATCAGTTCTAAAGGTGTGGAGTGTGTTGTGTGTGAAGGCGAAGAGGGAATTCTGTGAGATTTACCCATACAGCAGGCTGAGCAGAAGAAATCAGTTTCTTTATCATGTAAAACAACATTACAACTTTGAAGTACAAGCTTAATAACATGTTTATTAGGATGTCCCAGCCTTAGGTGCCACATGACAGTAGGGCTAACATGAGCAACAATAGTATTAATACTAGGTAACAAAGTAGTAGAACACACAGAGTTGACAGTAATCTTGGAACTTGAGCTGGAGAAGTTGAGTGAAGTGAACTCATACAATCCATCAGTTCCAACAGCACCTTCAAGTACCACCTCATGTGTAGCCTGAGATTTGACAAGGCACTTATCAGATGTAAACAAAAAATATACTCCATTATCACGACAAAATTGACTGACACTGATAAGATTTTTTGTAATGGAGGGAATAAGAGTTTATTCAAGGTAAGAGGTGTGTGTGGGTGTGTGTTAGACAGAAAAGTGCTAGAACCAGTGGAATTAATGGGCAAACCTTGACCATTGCCAATGAAAATCTAATCAGGACCTTCATATGGTGTCACTTGCTGCACATTCCTTGAATCATTCGTAACATGATATGATGCTCTTGAGTCAGGATACCAGAATGCACTTGGAACAACTGCAGGCTGAGAACTTGCAACTAAAGCACTAGGTAGAGTGAGTTGAGGAATAGCTCTGCTGTTGGAGGGAGGTCTGGTCCAAACATTGGCAGGCTGCAAAACATAGGGTGTAGGTGAAGCAGTCCAAGGCTGAGAAGCATATGTTGGCACAAAGTTAGTTGTAGGCTGAAAGTGCTGATCAAATCTATGCCAACAGTTGAGTTCAGAATGTCCAACTTTAGAGCACACTTGACACTGCACTGAGGACCTGCCACCTCTACCACGACCTGAGCAACCACCTCTTGAAGTTCTACCTCCACGAAATTGCTGAGTGTCAGTGTCAGAATTCTAAGCAACTGGTGGAGGTACAGAGTCTGGTGCAACAGAAGTTGTATCCTCAGGATTGGAGCCAATAGAAGTAGCATGCGTGAGATTCAGAGACACCAAATTTGGTGTTGACTGCTTCTTGAACCTGTTCTGACGCAATTCATGAGCAAGCAAAAGAATCTCCACTTCATCAAAGATCCATTACACCAAATTTACTCTCCACAACACATACTACTAAAGCATATTCAGTTGGTAAACCTTCCAAGATAACATCAATATGGTGCGAAACTGGAATTGGATCACCAATTGAGGCAAGAGCATCAACAATATTGCGAATCTTGAGTAAATAGTCATGAATAGTAGAATCAACAAGAGTTAGGGCACGAAGCTCAACACAAAGTTGTCTAGCTTGAGCGCGAGTTTGTTTCTGAAAATAGTTGAAAAGACGATCCCAGAGTTCATGAGCATGAGTGCATCCTAGAACTCGTGAGAGGATCTCACTCGATAATGTGGATTGAAGCCACGATAACAACATCTGGTCCTTTTGCAACCAGCGAGTGTATGTAGGATTAACAGTACCTGAGTTACGAGCTTCATCATCCACAAACTGAGGTGGAATACACGAGCAGACGACGAACTCAGTGAGGTTGTGTGCGTTGATGTACGGCTCGATCTGTTGCCGCCATAGATGGAAGTTTTTCTTGTCCAGTTTCTGTGCGATCTTGAGCACGAACTGGAAACGATGCACATCGTCAGTGGATTTTGGCATTTCCGGCGTGTTCGCACCGGAGAGATGAACAGAGACCGCCGACGAAGACTCCGGAGACGGTGGTTGCTCCATCGCAGCGAAGGATCAAGAGGCTTAAACTGATACCATGTTAGAAACAATGCTAGAGAGAGAGTAAAGCTTTTCATTGCTGTAACTGAATTCTGTTTTGATTACAAGTTAGTTGTATTGAAGTTACACCTTGTTACTTATATAGTAACAAGGTGACTGGCTATGCTAGGTGACACTAGACTATGACTGGCAGTTGCCAGTTACCTACTTTTAGTCTAAATACAGAATACACTCTAATAAGATTGGTACTGTTTTGGTCTCTTTATGTGTTTGTTCTTTCAGTTCATATGTATGTTAGTGTTTTCACTCATGATTAACTTATTTTTGCGTATTTAGTGGGTTGCGCTGCGAAGGTGCGATTAGCTGTTCCAGTGGAAATTTTTTCTGTTAGTAGTTGTGTTGGTTTTGTGGTGCTTAATTTGGAGGCATGTTTCCTATTCTGGTTTTTGTTTATGTACTGATATTAGAGCCATTTCTTACGCCTTTGGTCATCTAATATATTGATTCTATTTGCCCTTTCAAAAAAATGCTGGTAGGGTTGCAATTCTTTCTCTTTTAAATCTTCTAGATAATATGAATGCGCTACTAGTTCTAAATGTTTCTTTTAACTTGATTTAGAGATTGTTGAGGATCGTGGATTAACGAGCGTTATAGAAGGTAAATCATAATGATTGGAGAAGGAAGAGATAAAGGGTATTCATGGTAGAATATTGGTCCATTGCATAGAGTTTATGCTTGGATACAAGAAAGCCATATTTTTTGTTTTTATACTATTTACTACAAAGATAGAATATTGTTTAAATGAATGACTATAAGATATAAAC